GCGTGTACTGCGTTGTGTCCAAACACGGATGAAAAAAAAAAGAAAACGGACATGATCGATACCGAAAGAACAGATAAACATCAGGAAACGGTACGAAACAGTGGAACTTCCCAACTCCCAAGACTCCCGGTCTCCTCCGCCCAGATTTCTCTGCAAGATTACCCGTACCTTTTCCGCCGGTCCAAAAGTCAAACGTGGTCGGACGCGTGGGCAAAATCGACGGGAACTTTAAACGTGGCACGCCGGAGACTTATCTCCGCGCGTACGTCGGAAACCCGTAGCCTCTCGGTACCTACGCCCGGTGATTCACTCCTCTATTGTCCGATTTCGCGAGGGAGCAAGACGACGGCATGGAGGGATAGAGAGAGAGAGAGAGAGAGAGATGGAAAAAAACCAGGGTGGAAAAGATAGGCAAGAACGCGTGCATTCAGTCGTTCGAAGTCTAGTCGAGACTCGGCTACGCCGAAGATAAAGAAACACGGTTGCGAATCACGCCGCGGTGGCGCCTAATGGGCGGCAACAAAAAGGGACACGGTATGGTCACCACACCGCACCGGCATCGGGGAATTCCCCTTAGGAGGAGACCCGTCATCCCCACCACGGTGCGCGTTCTACTCCCACTCGATCGTGCTCGGCTACGCTCGGACACGCTCGGTGATCTCCGCGTCATTCGCTGGACCCGCCGCGTCGGAGATCGCGCAGTGCCGTATGCACAACAGGATCCGCCCCCCACCTCTTTCGAGTTTGGCTTATCGTCGAGGGAGCAACGATCTCGCACCCTCGATCGAGACACTTGACGCGTCACCAGTGAAATGTACACGTTTCGTTTTCTTCTGTTTCGATGAGAAAAATGGAAACGAGGTAAACTGGGCTTCCCGGGAAACACCGTTCCCGAGAACGGCTCTATACGGTCTGGACATATTTTATTTGAAATGGAATAAACGAAATGGAGATTTTATTTAACCCCTCGACAAAAGTTGGGTACAACGAATTATAAATGAAATTTTCTTCTTAATTATGCACGTTGACAGGACAGGATCTAAACGGCCGAATGGATTTTAATGTTATCTTCTTTAAGGGTTCGGTAATCGTGACGCGGTGGCGTAAAAATACTGCCAAGGCAGTTAATAATTCCAGAAATTCTTGCGCTCAAGAGGATCAGTAGGATTCTGGCGAGATGTTAGTAGAACGAGGAGGTTCAACTCGCGAGATACCAAGAAATTCAACACCTCGAGACGAGACCTTTGGGAGAGAGGGTCGACAACTATTGGCTCTAATTGCCCAGTACTCGTTGAATGTGGAGATGGTCCGGCTATGCTTTCGCTGGCATATAAGTCCGACTGTAAACGATCGCAGTCCGACGCTTCTCGTTTAGCACTTGAACACAAGAAAATTGTGTGCAACGGAGATCCCTTCGCACTCCCTCACACGCTAGTCTATTTAGTGGTATAGCAAATTTTGTCCCTAAACATCTCAAAGCTGTTACTAACTAGAAAAATAATATACGAGTAACTTTTTTAATGGGAAGAATTTTAACGGGGGATTCTAGAGGCCAAAATAAGACGAAAATCAAGAATACTAATTCGTTGATGGAGAATTCATTAAAAAGTTATTAACGTTTAAAATTCCGCCCGTACTGAATTTATTTTCCAGAAAGTGGGTAGGATTTCGGGGGTAGGTCTATTCACCAAAAATGCTTGTAATCGACCCCTGTAACTAAATATAATTTTTTTAGTATGATTTGAAATTTTTTAATTTTGTCTATTTCAGTACCTACTCGAATTTTTTTCTCGAAAGTGGGTAGGATTTCAGGGGTAGGTCTATTCACCAAAAATGCTTGTAATCGACCCCTGTAACTATATATAATTTTTTTAGTATGATTTGAAATTTTTTAATTTTGTCTATTTCAGTACCTACTCGAATTTTTTTCTCGAAAGTGGGTAGGATTTCAGGGGTATGTGTATTCATAAAAAATGATTGTAATCGAGCCCCACGACTAAAAATAATTTTTTCAAAATGATTTGAAACTTTTTAATTTAATTTTTTAATAACCTTTTAACGAAGCTTTTATTTTGGTCTCTAGAATCTCCTATTAAAATTTGTTCCACCATGAACTTGTGACCACCATGGCCATCGTTACGGTAGCAATTCTTACTTAAAGCGTAAAATATACAGGAATCGAAAATGTTTATTCATCCATGCGCCTCGGTACCGAAATAGACGTACACGACTATTCCACAAATTAATTTTGCGGACAATTCTCTCCTCGTATGTGAATCAACGTTTATACTTATCAGAGAAGACTCGGTTAGACCCTTCGCTCGCTTTCAAAGCGACGCAGGCGACGCTAAATAATTGTCGGGCTTCTGTAACACGATATGCAAGTTCGAGCGTATGATGCATGACTTTTCAAAATAATATATCGCGCGGGTGCAGTAAATCCTTTCGTTGGCCCAAATGAACACGAAGCTGGCTTACAACCGTGCGATAAATTTCTGCGTATCTCGGTTTATTAAATGTTTTCATCGGGACGGCCGTAGTATACTTTGATATTACACTGCGCGTAACAAAGTCGATTGATGTAACTTCCAAGGTTCGATTGAACCTATCCTACGAGATTAACAAGAACGAATTCGTACTAATTTACGAATCAACGTTCCTGCCGATACTCACGAGGTTGTATCGTGCTTTCGTCCGACATATATAAGCGTCTGGCCCTAAATAATCGTCCGATGCCTCTCGCTTAGCGATGCAGCCGCGCTCCCGTCTCTTTCGGACATTGTTTCGAAGCGGTCCTTCCCTTTCATTCAGTAATTCGCAGGCAGCTGCACACTAATAATAGTATCGGACACTGCCGCCACTGCCTGCCGTCTCTGCTTTCGTCGCGACTCTGCCCGTACATTAGCCGTCAATATCGTCGTTTCCGACGATAAGCTACCTTGCCTCTTCTCTGCGCCAGGCTCCGCTCTCCTCTGCCGTCTCTTTCTCGCGGCTCTGCATTTATCTGGTATTTAGTCGAGCTACTTGAAAGAGACAGCGATCCGGAAACGAGACAAAGACCGTCGGCGAACGGTAGAAAACCGAACGAATAACACGAGACAATTAACCCTGTAACTGCAACATGCGCAGTTTACTCCCGCGCCTTCCTAACCTATGAAATTTTTGTCCCAGATAATAATCGAAGAATCTATTTTTACTTATAATCTACGAGCAGCAAGTATATTTATTGCTGATTATCTCAAGGAAATGGGATGCTGCAAGCGGTCCACCTATGCACAACGCGTAATACGCGTCAACGTTTTCGCAACTCTATGCCTGTTTATCGTTACTACTATTCCCACCAGGAAGGAGACGACCGAATGGAAAATTTCGCTGATACCGATGCATCGACGACGTGGGTTGCATCGCGAATAAGAGCTTCTTGTCTACTTTGAACGTATTACATACCTCACGGCGGTGAAAAGTCAAGGGAATCAACGAAGATAACCAACACGCGCTACGGAACGTTATCTCGTTTCCCCTTCGACTCCCGAGGTATTCGTGTTTTATTGCAAAATGCTCCGCGAGATCTTTAAGAACCACGACATAACATGTAGCTCTTGAGAGCTCGCGTTTCGTCGCGTTCTTAAAACATTCGTAAAGTTAAAAAAAAAGCTAATAAACAGTCTTGAAACGAGAGTTTATTTATAGACCTTTCGATCTCTTTTTCAGGATCATCTTTAAGACAACAGGGTGATCTACGATCGAAAACAACCGTCGTTGAAACAAGCATATGCTAAAAAATAGAATGATTATAATATATTATGATTAAAAGTATCGATAAATTAAAGATTGTTATAGAAGTAGTATAAATCGAGATGAAATCTGTATTCTGCAACTACAAATAAATTAATTTCTTCGCAAACTTTATTTCTGCTTTGTTTAATTTTCCTTTCACTTCCATCTAATGTATATTACTGACTTCAATTAACGATACAGTACAAACTAGATAAATATCCAAATATAATGAACTTGACACAACGTAAGTTCAACGACAAAATGAGATAACAGTAATGTAATCGCTTAGACATTCGAATCTCTTTCTCTCTTCACTCGTTACCCTTCTTCTATGTTCGAACCGATTCCATTATATGACAACTGCTATCGAAATCCTTAACGCTCTCGAATCTACCAAGACCTTCGGGACTAAAGATATTCAAGCAATTCAAGAGTACGAAACGATTCGAATCTTCATAGTTTTCGAAACTTTCAGCCATTTTAAAGCTGCGATTCGAACAACCCACGACTACATAATCGAGCGGTGGACGATCTTCGCTGCGAGAGATTGTACGTAAATACAATATCGGCGCATCCTTCCTTTTAGCAGATAAATAAGCGGGGTAATCACGTCCGTGAGCCAATGGGCCCAAAAGATACCAGATTTCCGGTGGACGAATGCGTCATGATAAGAAGCTCCGCCGCGATTCATAAACCGCTATTACTGGAAACAACAACGGACGCGGCCGTGTTCCCTCCGGCTATCCCCTTTGTGACGTACCCCCCTCCGATACCACAGGAATCGATAGCGCGGGGCGCCCGGTCGGATGGCTACGCTCCTGACCTTGATTGCGGCCGACGCACACGCCGAGATCCGACGCAGGTAGGGGATGTGGCGACGACACGAGTAGACGAATATATAGTACGCACGAATCGCTCGAGGATAACATCTCGTAGCCCAGGGAAGGCTAGCAGACCTGTGGAGGGCGAGAGGAAGAGGAGGAGATGTAGACTGGAGCGAGAGTGGTACAGAAAGGGGGTAAGTTGGAGTTACAGAGGTTGTGGGGAGGGGGGGGTGGGAAGGGGGAGGGGGTTCCAGCGTGTCCGTCATAACGCATAGAGGGGGAGAATAGGAGAACCGTCGGAACGGTTACGGGGAGAGACAGAGAGTGGAGGGAAGAATCGGAGGGAAGAGATGGTGGGGGCGGTCGAACGTGGCAAGGGAGACGAAGGGAGAGAGAAGAAGCATGGGGGCGGTGGCTGCTCCGCTACGGCCGCCATCACCATCCGTCCCATCCTATAGTAAACTCCGAAGCAGCAGTCCCCAATCTGTCTCCATGTGTGTTAGTTAGGACCGTGTTTTACCGGTGCTTGCTACTCCAAGCTGGTAGTAACACCGACATTTCTGCCTTGCCCGCTCTCTGCGATGCCCTAGCATCAGCTCCCGATACCGTCGCACTTCCCTCGTTCCTTTCTTCTCTCCGTCTTTTTCCCCGCTATTCTTTCCCACCGGCCTGTCTCCTTAAGTGTGTTTTGCTTCTGTGCGTCCGAGAACGCGTACGCGAATGAAAAGAATCGGTAGAGAAGAAGGAGAAGGCGGCGGTGGAGGAGGAGGAGGAGACGGCAAAAGAAGAGCAGCGTATCGCTTTCTGCACGGCCCGTTTCCAAGGATATAACCGGTGCGCGCTCTCTTCCTCTATTTTTCGAGGTTCCCTTCGTTTATCCCGGTTCACGAGAAGTGTATAGTGTGATTAGTTGGGAAGTAGCCAGTGCACTACATCGTATAATTCGTTCCTCGACATATACGCACGCCTTATCCGCGTCGTCGGGCGATCCCTTAAGACCGAACGAGAAGAACACAGATCGACACGAGAGATGATCGTCAGGGAGGCTCTTTGTGCGGACAGGAATTGAACCGCTCTTTCGGACGAGCGACGCGGAATCGAACGAATGTACATGCAAATGGGCCGTATATCGAGACGCGGCAAAGAAACGAGATTTATTACCCCTTTCGTTTGAAGAATCCTTGGAGTCCTTGAAATTCTCGCGATCATCCTCGGCTTGGCATACCAGCAGCGGACGTCGAAAATCCAACGAGCTTGAGACGCGTCCCACCCAATCGGTCCTCTCGAATCATCGTCGTGGAATCGTCACTTATCGGACGAGGGGAACGAAGGAACGGACGAACTATCCGTGGACCTCAGCGCTGCCGCCCGCTGGAATTTCTCCTGTCGTCGTCTGCACATAACCTCACTCCCTTGTCTCTTGGCCGCTCTCTCTTCTCCGTCTCTCGCCTCTCTAACCCTGTTATCATTCTGTCTCTTCTTCTCTGTCTTCCTCGTCCAATACTTGGCTCGCTCGTCTATTTCGCATCGAAGAAGAAACGTGATCAACATTCCCGTGTTTCGTTGAACTCTACGTGCGCGCGAGTGACACGGCTGCTTTTAATGTTCACCGCGGCGAGTGCACGTTCACCGGCGCGTGGATATCCGGAGTCCGAGAGTCGATTGTCGGTGACCAAGAAGACGCAACGGTGAAACTTGTACGATCACGGCACACGGTGTCCGATCGTCGTTGCTCGTAACCATTAAGCAATCGAAGAAAAGGAACAAGAGAGCAACGATGGTCAGCCGCGCACTGAAACGTCGCTGGACGTGAACTTCGTCTCGTCGTCCAACGCACAAGTACGCGACGCATCGCGCGCTGGGCATTTTCTCTATCGCCCAATTAAACAACCATCGTTGCCACGATCGAACGGTGTTGGGGTCCGTTGTTTCGTATCGATGCTCCCAAACGCGGGAACGAGCGTTTATCGTTACTTCGTACCGACGACGTATTTATCGAACGATTCGAAAGAGAAACGGGGAGGAAGAGTGCAACCATGCGTCGCTGTACCTTGAAACGTCACAGATCACGCTGGACGAACTCTTGAGCGGAATCACGAGACGCGCTGCTGCGGCTGTCGAAGCATTCAACCTGGCGGATTCGTCGAAGAGACGCAAGACGTACCTCGGGGAGCACTGGCTCGCGCTCACGCGAATATGAGCATGACTCTCGTCCGAAATACGTTTAAAGGTATGTAAGTCCTCTTTTATAACCTATACGCGGCACCGAAACGTTCTTCGTTTCTCGCGGTTCGCATTGTGCGCGACTGCGCATACATTGCTGTATCGTTAAACATTTTAACGGCATTCTTCAGATTGTTGGGTATCGGTATTACGCTTAAAACATAGTTTCGTATTCGTGATGACATTCGGTATAGTCTTTGCGTCGAAAGTATAACGTAGAACTCGATGATTGGTAAATACTGCACTTTGACCGTTCGATCACGTTTAAGAACGTAAATGATGATGGATGCATACTACGTTTACGTTCACGTTACGTTGTACTTCATCCGTATTCGGTAGATGATTATTATACGTTTTTGAACTACACGTGATTTCTGCGTGTGGCTTCGTAAATAAGCCTGTGGTACGAGCTGGGGCATACCTGAACGCGAGTCGTATTTAACACATGCGTGTGTGTCACGCATGCGCGTATGATCCCTGAAAATATCACCCATTTTTCGGCAATCCAACGCGTAGAATTTAATCGCGATGCGCACATTCGCACAAATTCGTATCAAACCGTTCAACATTTATTTTTTTGTTATCAAACGTTCTTCGCTCTCCATACGACGACGCCGGTGCACTTATTTTTACCCGAATCGTTCCACGCGATAACGTCGAAATTTTTTTTATACACGATGATACGTGTAATTTATTCGCCACGAAAAATTGCGACTTCGGTTGGCCCTCGCGTAAAGTATAACGCATTACTTCCGAAACCGTGGTGCCGTAAACAGTTCACGGAATGCATCGTCGATGGAACGCGTTGAACGTCGAATCCCCGCGCACACGTGCATCCTAACGGCCGCATTCGTCGGAAAGTATTTTTTACTTAACGAGATTTACGGGGTTTCGCAATTTCCCGTCGATCACGCGCATATTTTTCTTTTATCGCGGTAATTTACTGACGTCGCGTCACCTAACGATCCCGACGATTTTTCGTGATTCACAGACGGTAGAGTCCGTTCGGTTGAACTTTAGACCCGACACGTGCTACTTTCGTGGCACGGATGTGCGAAATGAATTCAGATGCTCGCATCTGCGACGGCTGTTTCATTCTCGAGCACCGTTTTAACGTTCTCGCGCAGAAAATCGTTCGGTTTTAAAATGCGCGCGGTCCTCTGCTGTTCCATTACACGAGAAACTGTGAAACAAGACGCGGTCGCGTTGGAGCGAATACTCGTTAAACGTTTCGCACGCGATGAGCGCGGAACTGGAGAATTAAATGCTTTCGTAAAACAAAGAACTCTAGTTGCTTCGTTGTTCAAACGGTTCTCGTTAGTGTTGGCAGTGTACATGTAGAATAGACATTTTGACACGTCGATCGCTACGTTTGGAGAAGTCCTCTCGATATGTTGGATAGGATATTTTAGCTAAGGAGGGCAGTATAAGCGTAGGCGGTTATTGAACAAACACGCGTCGTGCCCCGCGCGAAAATACACCGTGGACCATAACTATAGCAACATTATAATTTTCGAACGAATTTCACCTAAAGTCCATTGTTTACAATGCTTTTTCGTACCACGTGATTGGTTTTTTTCAAATTATTTTCTCACAGGTCGGTTATGTTAAAAATGTTAGCGGTGCTATAGTTATGCCACGCAGTGTATTTACCGATCCGACGCACGGGACGACGGAAACCGCGGTTCTATTTTTGAGTTCAGGTAGAAGAACGTGCACGCGCGTTTCCCCGACAATCGCGCCATAGAGTCGATGAAAGAATCGTCGCCTCGCCGACGGCCATTCAATCGATTGTTTTCGATGAATCTCGACCGTGAATCTCGACGGTATGAGATTTAAGACGTACAGCATGGCGGCCATTTAAATGACATTGTATTTCATACATGATGTCATCAAATCTACATAAAAATAAAACAATTCATTTTGTTTCGATTTAAAGTTCTACCACTCTCATTGGTTTAAAATAAAGCATTTTTTTTTTTGATGGATGGAAAACTAAGAGCATAATAATATTCAAGAATGCTATTAACCATGTCGTTAAGTGTTAAAAAATATTTGTTTCAAAAATCAATACCGTACAATACTCTGCAAAAGTAAAAGTTTTGATTTCAGACCATTGTGAGCTACATAACCTAGATGTTTTTTCAGTACTTAGTTCTGCAACCTTGTTGTAATTTACAAATTCTATTCAAATTTATTTCCCTCGACGTCTTCGCTCGAGAATGAATTTTTCTAGTATCATAGCGATGAATCCTGTCACCCGTATATGGGTGACGTAGCAGTCAAAGTGTTAATAACAGTTCTTGAACATTATCGCGAAGAAACGTTTTATTTTTACCGTGGTCTTACCCCTTAATCCATTTCGTGTGATTCTTTTGTCTATTCGAGCGCACACGGAGGGTACATTGTTCTTGTCGACAGATAAGATTCCCTATATTCCGCGGGAGAGATGAATGACGCTACTGTATCGGCGTAAGCGAATCGTGTGCAGTTTACATGTCGTCCGTACGTGTATACTTTGGCGTTTTTTCCTCGTATCCCCCTGCCCCCTTTATCGTTCGCCGTGGCCAGTTATCGCGGCGCTGTCTGTTTTTATATTTTTCGTAGCGAAACGCGAACGAATAAGCGAGTTGCACGCGCAAATGACAGCCGAGATTGCGAAAAATGTCCAGTTTCCGGTCCCGCCAGCGATAGAAAACGGCGAGAACTCGAACCTAACCTAACCCTCGTCGCTTCTCGGAGCAACCGCGAACCAGAAACAGGCAATATTTTCCAACGAGATAACCAACATAGAGCAATTTTAATTCGAAATTGTTTTATTATTATTATATTTAGATTTTATGTTGCAAGGATAATTTTATACTTCTTAACGATCTACTATGACCACTGAGCCTAAAAATTTGTGTCGAACTTTCTCGATGTTGTCGATGTATGTTTTGTAATAAGGAGACCAAATTATGCTGCCATATTCGAGAATAGGTCAAAGCACGATATAAGATTTTAAGTCCCAGAGAGCACAGAGAATTTGCGAAATAATTTTTCCCATAATGAACATCGAACGATAAGTTATACCAAGATTTATGTAACGTAAGCCGACAGCAAATCGTGACAAATTCTGTCGCGAATTGTTAGCATTTGTTTAACGAGAGTCGTCTCGTTTCATTACGATCGCGAGGTCTCGCCTTTTGCGTTAATTTCGTTGAGCCGAAACTATGCAATGTCTTTAAGCGCCTGGGATGCTTGGATACATGCATGGCCGCCTATATTTGCAAAGTTCTCAAACACGACACACGACAAAAGAGTAATTAACTCTATACGGTGGCACGAGGTCGGCCACCGTAGCCGTATTTACACGGTTGTTTCATTGTAGTTTGTAGTTTGTACGCTGTTACAGTGTGCAGTGATAATACAACGTGACGTGATTACCGTTTTATTTTTTTCGATACCGAAGTAACACGCTATCGTTTAACCCACATTTCTGTCGCGTATCTTGTTTGTGACGTTCATTGGCGAATACGCTTCTACGTCGCGAACGATTTGGCCAACGCGATAAAGACGATCGTTAGAACGTTTATTTTTTTCTAAGCGGAGCGCGAAAAAGAATATCAAATTCACAAATAACCACAGATTAGAGCGATCACGGTGTTACTTTTATCGAAATCGTACAAAAACTCGATAGCGAGTGTTATTTTAACTAAAAACTACAAAGTGACGAGAAATAATCGTCAACGTGCTGTTGCACAACATGTTTCTGATTAACAGTTTTAGGACATACTATTCACGCTGCCGGGCGCTGTCTCGTCGCGAACGCGATAACACGTTTATCGCCACTGTCAGCCATTTTATTCCTAGTTTTACATCCAATTCCTTTTCTTTAATTGAATATAATTATTCGAGCAAATCTTCGTCGCATATCAGCAGCGTTTTTATGGTTTTGGTTCATTCATTAATTTCACTCGTTTATCTTCGGGGTTCTAGGAACATTCTGTTATCGGTACAATTAGATAGTAATTTCATCATACGAAATTATGTAAACTTATAGTAACGAAGTAACTAAATCTATAATTACTCGCAACCTCACGGACTTGCATAGTGCAATAATACTTAAAAAAAAAAAAATAGGATTACTTGTTTGTTTATTTACTCGCGACAGAGTCGTAGTTAGGGTCAGTTGCGATACTCAGCCTGTAAGTTCCAACGATTCGGCAAAATTTTACCATTTATTAAATCGAACAAGAGGTTCGGGATGTTCGTTTCGATGCGTTTTACTCGGCGTGGGACGACGCGACGCGGTTTTCGAGCGTTTCTCTCGAATTAATCGACGACGAAGTTGATACGACCGATTGGTCGGCATTTAGCCTGCGACCAATTGGCGCGCGCGTTCCATTGATTGGCTGGTGCGTACCATAATGCCGTGGAATAGCGGTGCCATTTGTATTCAATCACGAACGTTATCGAAGATTTACCGCCATGTGTCGACTACTTTTTCGAACAGTATTGCTTTCTAAACGTTGCTTCGAACTAGCTGTTAGGCTCGTTAAGCTGAATCTACCGAAGGGGTCAACTTGTTTTGTCATTTGCTATAACGATTACCAATTTTCAGTAAACATTACTGGCCCCAAATATCAATCAATTTCCTGATCGGTAACGCACACAATTATTGAACCATACGTGATTGCTTTTGGATATGGTATACTTATTTTAAAGTAAAAGATTGTCTCCCATACTTGAAACTTCATTTGATTTTTCTAACAATTAACATTGGCTTACGTGTATTCCCCATACGTCGTACTAAGAGTAAAGGGAAAATCCTCTTACGCGTTTTACAAAATGGCGTGGAATTAGGTGTCGAACACCCGGGGAGTCAACCGACCGCGTCTCTTTAAAGTTACGTTCTTCCAGTATTATTCATCGTTGTGTTCGCATTCTATTTCGAAGCCCAAATTCGTACAGCCTGACTTACTCATCCGGTATCTAAGGGCTGAGGTCATTCTCACCCCACTAAAT